AAACCAACAGATGATTGGCTCATTTTGCCCATTTAGAAGACTTGTAGAGAGTAGAAGAGAAGCTGTTGTTATTCAGATTGCCCTTGCAAATATATTCATAGCATTGTTAATGGAAATAAAAATCAGACAGAGTGGTCAATGTATTTATCTCCAAATAGGAGAATGATACTGAGAATTCTAGAAGTGGAAATGCTTTTTGCACATATTGTCAAGGGAAATAAATGAAAGACATATCCAGCTATAAGCAGCATCGAGTTTCACTTCTCATATATGGAGTGCCGCAGGGTTCAGTCCTGGGCCCAATACTATACAACATCCTTATTAATGACTTAGATGAAGTGCATGCTTATCAAGTTTGCAAATGACACCAAATTAGAAGGGATAGTTAATACTTCAGAAGACAGGATCAGAATTCAAAAGGACCTCCTTCTACCATCATCGGAGGTCGCCACGACCATTCCAACGCGATATGCTCTATATACCAGGTCCTAGGGAAGTGCACTTGGAAAGCACCAGACGCAGGGCCTTCTCTATTTCTGCCCCTGCCTTATGGAATTCCTTGCCTCCCTATTTGAGAGCCATGCGTGACTTAGGGCATTTTATCCTGGCACTTAAGACCTGGCTTTTTACTAGAGCATTTGACCCATGTTAATTTTAATATTTGTATGTATGTGTTTTATCCTGTATAATTTCTGCAATGTAAATCGCCTGGAGCATCTCGGATGGAGGGCGATTAATAAGTAATTAAAGATGATGATGATGATTAGAGAGCTAGGCCAAAACTAACAAAATGAAGTTCTATAAGGCCATATGTAAGATACTACACTTAGGCAGAAAAAATGAAATGCAGATACAGGATGGGTAAGACCTGCTCGACAACAGTCCATGTGAAAAAGATTGTGGAGTCTTTATGGACAACAAGTTGAACATGAGCCAACAGTGTGATGCAGCAGCTCAAAAAGCCCATGGGATTTTGGGCTGCATCAAAAAGAGTATAGTGTCTAGATCGAGGGAAGTCATGGTGTCTCTCTATTCGGCTTTGGTCAGACCTCACCTGGAATACCTTGTCCAATTCTGGGCACAACAATTTAAAAGAGATATTGACAAGCTGGAAGATGTCCAAAGGAGAGCAACTGAAATAATCAAAGCTCTGGAGACCATGTCCTTAAGACGAAATCTTAAAGAACTGGATATGTTTAACCTGAAGAGGAGACGTGATTGCCATGTATAAATATGTGAAAGGATGTCATAAGGAAGATGGAGCAGACTGGTTTTCTAATGCCCTGGAAACTAGGACTCAGAGCAATGGGTTCAAATTACAGGAAAGGATATTCCACTTGAACATTAGGAAGAACTTCCTAACTGTAAGAGCTGTTCAGCAGTGGAACTCTCTGCTTCAGTGTGTGGTGGAAGCTCCTTTCTTGGAAGTTTTTAAAAAAGAGGCTGGATGGCCATCTGACAGGGGTACTTTGTGCTTTTCCTGCATTGCAGGGGGTTGGACTAGATGACCCATGTGGTCTCTTCCAACTATCATCTCTTCTATGACTGAAAACTTGGATGTGGAACCAAGTATTTGGATAATTGATTAGTACAATATGTCAGCTTGGAACGGTGCAGTGATAATCGGAACGGCCTGGACAATGATATTAGATTATGTGATTTTAATAATTTTAATGTTTATATGTTTTAGCAGATGTTTTAATGTTTATATTTTTTTATTTGCTGGATAAGTATTGTATGTAATGTATGGCATCAAATTGTGCCTCTATGTGCACTGCTCTTGAGTCCTCTTCGGGGTTGAGAAGGGTGGGATATAAATATGTCAAATAAATAAAATGTGTGTGTGTGTGCAGGAGACTACCACATATACATAGAGAGAACAGAAGTGGGTGGGGGCAAGAGTTATGGCAATGAACTTGAAGTACATTACAATTTTGTAAAAAAATTCTTGTAAATCCCAACATGTGAAATATTTAATTTCATTTAGAAAAATAGAAAAAAAGCAGTGGTTTAAACTTTAGCTGCACCTATATGACTAGTTGACAGAAGAAGATATGGAAAATGAAGAGACTAGTAAAACTGATAGTGCTATAGAAGAGATATTAGAGCTTTTTAATATAAAATATGGAGCCATCAGTGGCGCAGTGGCTTAAACCCTTGTGCCGACAGGACTGAAGAATGACAGGTTGGAGGTTCGGATCCAGGGAGAGTGTGGAAGAGCTCCCGTTGTCAGCACAGGCTCCCCATGCGGGGACATGAGAGAAGCCTCCCACAAGGAAAGTAAAACATCAAACATCTGGGTGGTTTCCCAAGTCGCACCTGACACACACAAAAAAATAGTTAATTAGTAACACTGTTTATTAGGAAAAAGCCAGTCTTTGATTTCATTTTTTATGAATGCTTCCATTAGAAAATACATAACGGTTTGGGACCCGCCCTGAACGGTTTGGGACACGCCTACCTGCATGACCGCATTTCTGTGTACAAACCCACACGATCTCTTCGATCATCTGGAGAGGCCCTGCTCACTCTCCCACCTCCTTCGCAGGCACGATTGGTGGGGAGAGGGCCTTCTCAGTGGTGGCCCCCCGACTCTGGAACTCACTTCCCAGGGACATTAGACATGCCTCAACATTGGCAGTCTTTAGGAGGAGCCTGAAAGCGTGGTTGTTCCAGTGTGCCTTCCTAGAATAAGAACTCTCAACAATATGTCTTCACAATGCACTTTAATATTGACTTAGGATGGACTGTGCTCCCTCATTTCTCTCTGAAAAATCCTATCCTAGTTATATATTACCTTGTTCACGTCAGCATATTTTCAATTTTAATCTATTACATTTGACCCGGCCATTTTTAAAATTGTTTATGTCACTATTGATTGTTCTTTGTTTATGTGATTTATATGATTTGTATTTTATTGATTGTTTATTGATGTTGTGTTTATTGATGTTTTGTTTGATGTACTTTGGGCTTGGCCTCATGTAAGCCGTACCGAGTCCCTTGGGGAGATGGTAGCGGGGTACAAATAAAGTTTATTATTTATTATTATAACATTGTGGGTGAACTACAACTCCCAGAATTATGGGTCAGTCCTCCCCAAACCAGGCCTGCATGCACAGTTGGCCAGGTTGGGTGTGTGTGCCAAGTTTGGTCCAGATCTGTTGTTGGCTGGGTTCAATGCTCCTGGGGGGGGGGGGGGGGGGGGGGGGGGGGTTGTCACAGTTCTTTGCCATGATGCAGGGTGAACTACAACAGTTTCTCAAGTCACTCCAGACACGAATATATATATAAATGACTGCAGATCCTTAGCAAGCAAGCTGCAAGTTAGCATCTCTGTTTACTTTTATATTTTGTTTATTTGTTTTTCAAAATGTAATATTTAAAAATAACTCACAGAGTATCTTTCGAGAAAAGAAAGACCACAATTCAAACAATAGTGATGCTCGACTTTGTCATAAGCAACACCCTTATCCTTTTCAAGCAGTGGTTGCGAGACAGCTATTTCTTGACCTACAACGTTATTGCTAAAGGTGTTTCTGGCACACAATGTTTAGAGGAAATGGATATAAAAAACTTTAATGGATCCACGGAAACGTGGGATTCAAGCCCATGCCTGACTCTTCCCTTCCACTATTTTTAAGTGTCTTCTGTTCTGCGTAAAATGATGAAATCCTTCAAGTCTGAAATGTTAAAGGTCACACCTGCTATCAAACTGGGTTTTTTTAAAAAAGTATGCATTAAAAACTGTGCACTAGAATGAATCCTACACTGTAACCAATATGTTGCAGCTGCATGTGACAACTTTACTGCATCAGATGGTTAGAAATTGTATTCCTCTTAGACTGCAGCACTCCAAAAAACTGTTAATTGGACTCTAAAATAAAGATATTCATAGCAAAAGGGAACATTCTTGCACACTTAATGGAAGGCAATGGTGCAAAATGTTAAAAGTTATGAGGTTTTATTTAGCCCATCGAGGAATTACAGAGATAGAAGGGGGTCTCAAGTCCAAACCCCTACAATGCAAGAGTAATCAACTATAGTGCTCCAGAAAGATGGCCATCAACCAAGGATAGTCCACACCATTCCCAGGCAATTTGTTTAATTGTTAAACTATTATAATTGTTCCTAGTGGTCAGATGGAAACATTTTTTCATGTTGATTTGAATCCATGTCCTAGTCTCTGAAGGAGCAGCAGAAAAGAAGCTTGCCCCATACTACTACTACTACTACTACTACTATTATTATTATTTTATTGATTAGCCCTTAGGCCATCCTTACATGATAGCCCTTCACCTATTTAAAGACAGCTGTGATAGCACTTTTAGGAACATAAAGAAACACTATTTAAATCTTAAATAAGATCATGCTTTTAATTAAAGCTATGGCTTGAGTTACTACTTCTGAACCTTTGTTATTTTTCTTGTACCCATATGTCTGTATCTTGGTCCCCCTACCCCCCCAAAAGCATTTGGAACTGTCCTGTGAGGTTCACCTTTTACTCATTTGAGGAGAGTTTGTAAAGCTTTTCTATATGTGAATGTATATAGGATGGGTTTGTGTGTTTATATTTATGTGTGATCATTTTTTTAAAAAAAAGCCATTAAAACATTTCCACATAAGAAATACACCAGCTTAGGCTTACCACTGGAAAATCTTTTCTAGCTTTTAATCTGGGGAAAGAAGAAGGATTCAAGAATGAATTGTTATTTATTTTCAATAGTATGCCTTGGTATAACTAGCACTTCATGACTGAAAGTGCATATGATTTATACACATATAAAATGATTGTATGGGACAGAACTTTGAAAATTATCAGTGTTTAATTTCAAACCTTTTGGAGCTTCTTGCTTATTTAAACCACACTTTAGAATCTCATCTTCTCCAAATGTGATGGTCAGAACAGAAAAATATCATGTTGGCGAACGTTGGTGCGAACTCTTGGTTGTGGGTGGAAGGAAATATTTGAATACTAAAACAATTCTATGTCTTATTTTCAGGCCAGCCAGAACGTTAACATTGCCAAAAAGGTAGGCATGTGTAATTCCTTACTTATTGTTGTGTTACTAGCCACAAACATATGCCTAACAGTAAGAAAGACAGAAGATGAGACTAAAAGAAATTGTGAGCCAGGGGGATGTTTTGATATTTTTCAAGGGGACAGAACAAGAACATCCCTGATGATATCTGCCCGCTGACAGCTAAACCTTGGTTATGCCAGTTGGCTCCAATTCTAGTGTTTTCACCATCTACTTTAAAATGATTGAAATCCTCTGTAGTCATTTTTGGTCTCTTAATGCTTATCAGTAAACCTTTCTTTGTGCATTTTCCTTCTTCAGAATTAGTTTTTGCTGTTTTCTGGTAGCAGTGTAGTGTCATCTGTGTGTCCTATACTGTCGATGTCCATTCCTTCAATTTTCATGCCTCTTTCCTCTGGATTTAGTCCTGCTTCATATGTTCAATGTACGTGTTAAACAGGGTTATAAATGCAGCCTTATCTGATCCCCTGGCCAATTGGAAACTATTCAGTTTCTCCACATTTTGTCCTGATGGTAAGGTTTCACATCAGAATAATCAGATGTTACGGCACACCCATTTGAAGTCATCTATGGGTTTTTTTCTCTACACAATCAAAGATTTTTCCAGAATGCATAAAGCAAGAACTGATTTTATTCTGAAATTCTTCGGTGTGCTCCGTTATCCAACATATATTTGTTTCTGGAATCCCTAGAGTCCTGTTTCTTGGAGATCAGAATGTACATTGAGTGTTTCCATCTGTAGATCATTGTTTTGTTTTCCATATTTGGAACAGATTTTAGTTAGAACTAGAGTATATTCTCTTTCTATATATTGAAGCAGCTCTATTAGTATGGCCTCCATTTCTGATGGCGATACTATGGAAGAATATTAATTCTCCCTCTGAGAATACTTTAATTATGTCTTCATACATACGAAAAGGGTTTGCATTCTCATAGCTTGTATTGACTGTGTTGTGGTCCTTGGATCTTTATTTTGTTGGGATTTACTTGTGATAACCAAAATAAACAGACATGAATTTGTGGCTAAACACTGTTTACTTTTATGCTTGCTTCATAGTGTTTCACTTTGCTGAGCTCTATATGACATTTTCCTGTATTGTAACATAATTGCATTAACTCCCTTAAAACCTTCACAAACGAGCTGGAGCCTAGCCCATCTCAAGTTCTAATATTGCAGAAAATGTATTCTTGGAATTAAATATGGAAACATCCTGACCAAACCAAAACATGAATTTAAAGCGAGAAATTTGAAAATTGCTTCTTATTGCTTAGTCTACAGTAATAATTATTTTAAATATGACTTTTTTCTACACTGAAGGTGCCAGAATATTTAAATTAAATGTAGGGCAGTTTCAATTACTGTTTTACAACTTAAGAACTCTATTTTTTGACCAAACCAGAAATAGTATATAGTGGGGAAAGGAATCAGACTGTACCTGTTTAAACATTTGGGATAAATATTCATCAACGGAACTCAATGTTTTGACGAGGAACTGGTTGAAAAGTAAGGCCTATGTGTTTGGAAGTATTACCTCCAAAAGAGCTACAGAATTAGTGGTGCCTTACTTTAAATCTCCTGCTATAGATATGAGATCCAGTCGAATCCTATTTAAATAAAACAAAGATGATAGTAATCTTTTTAAACCTAATTATGTACATTGAAAGCAGCAATCTAAAGCAACCCAGTCTCTTGGCTTCTTTTTCTTTCTTGGAATTTATCCCTTATTAACAGAGATTTTCTATTTTATTCTAGCTATGCAGCTTTGATAGCTGATTGGCCTGTGGTGGTTTTGGGCATGTGTACTGTGCTAATTGTGGTCTGTGCATTGGTTGGAATACTAGTCCCAGATCTTCCAGATTTCTCTGATCCATTATTGGTAAGTAAATATTATTATCTAGTACTGTCAAAGCATTGTGTTGGCATATTCTTTTTTTATCAGCAAAAATGGTTAAGCAGAGAACAGCAAGGAATTCTTAAGAGATTTTTTTGCTGCTATCAAATGCAGATGTCCACAAACCCCAAATCTGAATATTTATGAACTTGGGTAGTTGAGTCCAGATGTCTTCAAATATGTGTGTTGCAGCCGCTGATCTTTTTATTCAATGGCAAAAGCTAAAACGATATCTCCCAGAAATACCTTTGGAAATTATTTGTGTTTTGAAGTTATTGCTGAAGACAATACCAATAATAATCAGGTCAGTGGATTTGTTACAAATTTGAGGAAAAAATCAGTTGGAGAATGGTTAGCTGTGGCACAGACTCCATCCAGGCGACAGGATGCCCACTTCTTCCATTCAATGTTAACATCTTCATTGTCTTGATGAGGGAACTCAAGAAACAGTGGAAGTATTTCTCTTCTTAAACATACATGTAACATTGTTATTTGTTGAATGCACTATACCTTAAAGAGGAAGAAAACATGATCATAGTCTTTCACCAAAGTGACTCCCAGTACTATCAACAAAAGTGTACTCATGGAATCATTTATTAAAGGGTGAGCCCAAGCTTACGTAAATCTAATTTAATAGGTCCACAGGACTAAAAAATAGGATTTGGAAAATTGTGTTCGTTTTAGCCTGTGTGCTTAATTAAGCATTTTGACAGTCCTGAGATCATGCAGAACCACAGCACTGAAGGGCTTAGAATGCAAATAAATCCTGAAAAAGAACAACTGAAGAAACGATGGCCTTTTTTTGCACACAATGATTTCTGGTAACATTATTGCAGTAGGCTGCTTGCCATTGTTTTTTTCTCTACGCTGCCACAGACAACTGATAGGGTGGTTTTACAGCATCTTGAAGTCTAACCACATGACAGCAGCCAGTACACATGTTGTGCCACCACAAGCGCACAGAGCATTGAGTATAACACCTGCTGTGGATATGGCTTTGATTGGGTACATGCTGTGGCTTTTTCTTATGGTGACAACTCACTCGTGCCTCATTTAAAATAGTTTCATTCATGTCTAATCTTGATACAAGCAATATTGTAATATTGCGGTGTCTTGAGATGGAGAATACTGAACATCCAAAAACTGGCAGAACAAAAAAAGGATATTTTATTAACAACAGAGGTATTCTTCCAACACGGACCATCACAATAGATTACTTGTAAAAATAATCATGATGTCATGGGGAAGAACCAAGTGTTTGAGCGATTTAGCCTTGAATTGCTGTAATGTCAATGGACATTAAATATGTCACTGTTCATGGCTATATACACTATTAAACAACACAGGATAATTCGTAAGACATTTCCTAATTTTGTAAACATTACTTGAGAAATTTCAGATCATCCAGCCAACCAAGGGTGAAGAAATGCTGCCTCTTGATCCCCACTGACCCATCCGAATTTTATTTTAAAGGACAATATTGTCTATAGCAATGGTTCTCAACCTGTGGGTCCCCAGATGTTTTAGCCTACAACTCCCAGAAATCCCAGGCAGTTTCCCAGCTGTTAGGATTTCTGGGAGTTGAAGGTCAAAACATCTGGGGACCCACAGGTTGAGAACCACAGGTCTATAGAGTTTGAAGAGGTGGGGAATTTTCCATGAGCGCTGCAACCTTTTTTAGCCCAGTTCTATGTGTGTGTGTTTGAATTGTGTTGTTTTTAAAGAAAAAAACTGAAAGTGTTTTCTTGTACTTCCAGGCTTAAAAGCCACCCAGTTCTGGGAGAAAGGCCAGAATATAAATAAAGAATCATAGAATCATTGAGTTGGAAGAGATCTCGTGGGCTATCCAGCCCAACCCCCTGCCAAGACGCAGGAAAATCGCATTCAAAGCACCCTCGATAGATGGCCATCCAGTCTCTGTTTAAAAGCCTCCAATGAAGGAGCCTCCACCACACTCTGGGGCAGGGAGTTCCACTGCTGATCAGCTCTAACAGTTAGGAAGTTCTTCCTCGTGTTCAGGTGGAATCTCCTTTCCTGTAGTTTGAGGCCATTGTTCTGCATCCTAGTCTCCAAGGCAGCAGAAAACAAGCTTGCTCCCTCATCCCTATGACTTCCCATCACATATTTATACATGGCCATCCTGTCTCTCAATAACAAGAGAAGCCCATGGGATGCAACCCCCCTCCCCAGCAAAATTGCCCCATACTCATAAAAGGAGACTTTGAAAGTTTAAAAAAAAGTTTGCATGGGTGGGGTGCCCTCTGAGATCTGGGATGAACACTGGAATTTGCCCATCTCTCAGGGTGAGAGTGGATATCAAAAGAAAACTGAGGTTGCTACACTATAAAAAACAGTATTGCATACTATGGTGCCTTTTTGATAATGTGGTCATATATAAATATCTGGTGTTACCATATCTGGAGTACTAAGTGCTGTTCTGGTAACAGCTTTGCAAAAAAGATATTACAGAGGTAGGAATTGTTCTGCTTGTGGGCTTTCCATAGACATCTGGTTGGCCACTATAGACCAGATTGACCTTTGGTCTAATCCAACTGGACTTTCTTTGCTTCCTTAGCTATAAAGCCTCATTCCATATTGTATTTTTCTCTCTAAGGTGTACAGCAATTGCCTTGAGCCCTTACATAATGTATTTTTTCATGTATTTCTTTGTGTTCCATCTCTTCAACTCAGAAGCCCGGAAGGTGTTTGTAGAGCCAATGTATACTAGTAAAACTCATTCATTAGTTTTCATTTTTGTCTTCCTGTTAAATCAAAGGCTTAATAGGCACTAAACAGTTTTCTAATATTCTGCTTTAGGGTTTTGAGCCAAGAGGAACTGCTATAGGGCAGAGGTTGGTGACGTGGAACAATATGGTGAAAAACACAGGCTACAAAGCAACCTTAGCAAACTATCCTTTTAAATATGCAGATGAACAGGCTAAGAGGTAAGGACTTCCAGGCACATTCTCTTTTTTATGGCATAGATTATTTACATACTTTATAGCTAGGTGTATGAAATGAAATACGGGAATATTAAAAATGAACTGTTTTTCCTTTCATATAATAGAAATAGAATGCCACATTTTTAACATCTGGCTCATTTAACCAGCGTTAATAAAAAGCGACTTGCTAAAAAAATTACAGTGTAATAAAGCTGTTTGATTATTTAAGTTCTTAAACCTTAAGAACTCATGTGGACAGAATATATTTTCTTGGGAAGTAATTTCCCCCCAGCTATAATGAATGAAGGTGTATCACCCAGTTAGGATAAAATCTATTATTTCTCTATTCATGTTATTCTTTATCTATTTAATGGGCTGATTTACAAAGAGGAAAGGTCTTTGGAAATATCAGTTCTTGGTGTATTGTTGCAAGTTTTTTGGGCTGTATAGCCATTTTCTGGAACATAGCCATACTGCCCGAAATACTTACAACAACCCAGTGATTCTGGCCATAAAAGCCTTCGACAATACAAGTTCTCAATGTTTTGATTTTACCTGCATATCCCCAGGGTTGTGTCCAAACACCTTCTTGTTAAATCCAGAGTTTCCATCACTCTTTCTCCCTTGTATTTTCCTCCTTTTGTGTGACGTCACAAAAATGCAACATTTCAGAAAATCATTTCCATCCATTTACTTTGACCCTTCTTCATTAATATTCATGAGTTATAGTCAAAATTCTAAAATGGTTAGCAGATTGCGCTAGTTAAACATTAGGATAATTTTGCTTTGGTACAAAAAAAAATCTCTTTCTGTCATTTAATATCTGTGGAAGCTTCGTTCTGGAAAAAATAGCTATGTGTTTTAGCGGCTGATATCTTAGCCAGTTTTGAGATAATATAGACCAGCAATTCCCAACCTGTGGTCCATGGACTTCCAGTGGTCCGCAAGAACTAAAATATGGTCCGTGGCTTCACTGTTACTACACCGTTGCAATGAGAGCAACTGGTCTCATGAAACCCTCTTATAGTGCCAGGCCATGGGGATGATGTTGGGAGGGGAGAGGCTGACTACCCACAAAAGGTGTGACAAGTAGCCTTCTGACTGCTCCTTCTCCTCCTCCCTCCATGTGGCACCTGGAAGTGGGGGCGCCCTGATGTCTTTGTTTTTAGGCCTGTTCCTCAGGTTATTTGAAGTGCTTATTCATAAAATTGCCTTGGATAGACTACATCAGCTCTAGATTATTAAATATGGTTTTATGTGGGCGAACAGATGGCAACTACTGGGTGGCATATGTCCTGTATCAGAGCTGATGTGGTCCATCCAATGCAAGTTTCTGAGTTAGCACCCCAAATAACAAAACCAAATATAGAGTTGATCAAAAACTGATTTGTAACCCTTTTGGTGCTAATGTTAGAGAGTGATCCCTGATCATGTGGTCCCAGGCCAAAAAAAGGTTGTGAGACAAACAGAGAAGTAAAGGTATGTATCATTTCAGAAAATGTTGAGTAAATAAAAACTCATCTGAGAAATAGGAATTATAAAGTCCTTGGTAATCCTGGGAGTTCCCTGGAGATACTTTGGGATGATGTAAACATTGGATAGATCTCCAAAATAAAACTTCCAAATAATGTATTTTGAAGAGTTCTGACAAATTGCAGCATTCAGTTAATGATGGGGACTTTAATTTAATGGATGGGACATTAAATAGTAGGGTGTTCCTTTATTTTCCTTCCCACTGCAGTCTCCCTTCCTATGTTCACCTTCTCAGTTGGCTTCCAAGGATTTCCAATCCTTTTTGAGAAGATTTGGGAGTTTTGGCAAGCTAGAAGAGGGGAAAGGATTCAATTCTGCCAATGGTTTCCATTCTGTTCACAGATGGCCTGCATTGGTTCCAACCAAATGTAATGATAATTTGTTCCCCTGTCTGAGTTGGTTTTTCAATCAGCTGCTTCATGAAAATGTTAGTTTTTCCTAAGAGCATTTTTATTTCTCTTTTTGTTTTTTTTGAAACACCCGGCAACTGCTGAAAGCGTGTAATTGGTTTAGATGCTACAGATTATGTTTTTTTTTCTTTTAGCCATCGAGATGACAGATGGTCAGACGACCACTATGAAAGAGAGAAAAGGGAGGCAGACTGGAATTTCCACAAAGACAGCTTTTTCTGTGACATTCCAAGTGAGTTAAGTAGTTTTGAGCATATGAAATGTTTTAGAAAATGCCTTCCACTCTAAAATAAAACAGGTCTTGTGTGGAGGAATTTTGAACTGATATTTTGTATGCTTTCTACCACACTTTTTAGTTTCTGAGAAAAAAGAGAAGTAAGCTATAAGTCATGCTACTATAGTATCTTCTCCACAGAAATAGGAAATAAAAACATTGCCCACTGATATATTTTCTGGTGGTAGATTTTCATTTCCTTGCTCATTGAGGTTTGTGATAGAAAACGAATTAGAGATTGGAAAGGTTTTGGGTTTGTTTTTTTTCTGTTTTGGATTATAGCCGCTGGAATCCCTAAGCAACATAGCCAAACTCTAGAAAGAAGTGACATTTTGTTCTATTACTACTACTACTACTATTACTACTACCACAAGGGTTATCTGGAAAGTCAGGTTACAAGACATGTAGCTCTCATGGGGAATTTTCAGGGAGGAAGTTGGTATCTCTGCCGGGTAACAGGAATGAGCAGGGCCAGTTGTCAGTAGCTCATCGACTGGCATTGTGGTGAAGGTTGGAGATGAGCGTCCTCATTCCATTTCCCTCCAAGTGCGAAGTTTGTGCTGTAATATGCTACCTAAACAGTAAAGTTATGAATACTACTGCGATTTATCACGAAATTATAATGTCAAGACAGCATGTGACAAAATTGGTACGGAATATATTGTGAAACCATGCAGAAATTTTGCAGAGCCATCCAAAACAAGCATCATGTGATGCTGACGGTGGGAATCTATCTCCTTTATGACAATGTGCATCTGCACACCATGCATGCAACACAAGACTTGTTGACTTCATTTGGCCGGGATGTTTTAAGCTCTGATCTCACACCCAGTGACTATCATCTGTTCACTGGGTGGAAAGCACCTTTCCAACGATGATGAGGTAAAAATCAAAGTGACGAACTGAGTGAAAAAGGTGGAGGGAAACTTCTATGGCACAGGCTTCAAAAACTCATCCCAAAATGTATTGAACTGAATGGTGACTATGTGGAAAAATAATGTAATACCTATGCTGCAATCCATGTAAGTTTTATTAGAATATATTCATTCGTTGTATTTTTAAAAAATCTTGTAACCTTACTTTCCAGATAACCCTTGTAACCCAAGGGTTACTTTCCGGATAACCCAAGACCGAAGTTGGTATGGGAGATGAATTAGATTCTAAAGTTCTTGCCAGTTTTCTACTTCAATGGGACAGGCAGGATGATCTGCAAACCTATTCCCGTTGCTTTCAGAATAAATCCTCCTTTCAGTCTTACCCATTCATGCCCAGTAGCGCAAGAGGTCAATTTAACTGCAGTATCAAAACTATAGTGATGTTTAAATGTCTTAATATTTTAAAATAATGCACATAATTTATGTAATTTATGAATATATTCATATTAGAAAGTGATTACACAGCAGGAAGCATAACATAAGGAACATGGGGAAATCACCTCTAAGCTCCTACAAAATTTGTATGCATCCATTTTCTTGCCAATTGATTTCTGGATCTTAATAATGTGCAGACGAAAGGCAGGGTTCACAATAGCACCGGAAGATAAATTAAACTGAGAAATAAAGATTGGTTCAAGATACAGCTGCACTGAAAGCACCATCTAAAATTTCCCCTGGTATTGAGGGTTACATTTTCTCTGTAATAACTATTCTTTCATCTTTCTGAAGTTCTGTGAAATTTTCTTATTTTCAGGTGATCGCTATTCAAGAGTTGTATTTACATCAGCTGATGGAGAGAATTTATGGAATTTACCAGCAATAAAATCAATGTGCAATATAGATAATTCGAGGGTAAGAATTTTTTTAACTTTAATTCCACAAACTTTACATTTGACAATAGAGACTTTTTCCTTGGTTATTGCCTTACCATTACTTTCTAGTTACAGAATAATCTATCAACAAGTAAGCATTCGGGCATAATTAACCACTTTATTTTGTGATAGGACTGTTATTTTACATTTCTTCACAATCTTCACAATACCATCTGTTTCTTTTCTCCATCATTTCCTTTTCTGAAGACTTTGTTGGAGGCAGGGCAGGATTTGGTACCTTAGTTTTTCTGTCATCTCATCTCCTAATACTAGTTCAGAAAGCACTTCTTTCCCCCATTTTTACTTTCTCCTAAAACAATTTGTCAACATTATATTTGGAGAGATTGGGAGACAGTTGTCTGCTCTGTGATACCTAAAAGAAGATAGATTGGCAATAGGGATCTCAGGCATGTGTGGATATATACAGTAACTTTTGTAAATACCAGATGAAAAAAAAAACATAATAATTCAATCCAGATCTTGGTATTCTGAGAAAGCAAATTTTGCTTCCTCTTCAGAGCACAAGGGGATGAAAGAAGACACTTTGGTCCTGACTGCTCTGATCGTGAGAGAATGTTTTCCATCACCAGGATGGTTGGGCCTATTTCAAATTCCCCAAGGATCCAAAATGTAAAAAATAACAGGCAGCCGAGGGGATTTCATGAGTTTTTCTTGCATGTGTTAAAAGTTAGCATTGCACAGAGTGGAGGATGAAATCTGGTTTTAACTAATAGACCTTTACTGACGCAAGGTCTGTGCTGAAGTGAAGGCCATATGTTTGCATTGTACATCTATGATGATGTGTGAGTTTGTCAAGTCTTTGAAACCACAGTGATTGGCATGCTTTGACAGGTGTTGGTGCCCCAAAGTTGGCAATCCCATAAAGCTTTACAACAGGCACTTTAGGCTGTTATAATAGTGCTGGCAGAACTGATGTGTCCAAATAGTGCAAAGAGGCATGTAAGCTGGGAATTGGGGGTGGGGGGGGGATGCATTCAGTTTCATAGGGGATATATAGCACTACTCTGGGATGTGGAAAGGTAGGAAATAGAGGACCAAGATTCATAGTTCTTCCTTGGTCATAATTCATGCTGGCCTCTGGGCCCTTAATTCAATTCCCACTGCTACCTGAAGTAAACTCACTGAATCAGTGGAACTGAAATAAATGTTGACTTACCAAGCCTCCACTGAGTCTATTTATGCACTGTAGTTGGATCTAACAATTGGTTTTAGGCCTAGGGATCAATCAGGGGTGTAATGTGAAGTAAACTATTTTCCTATGTTCTTTTGAGGGGAGGATATGGTAATTCTATCTATTTTGATTACACAAGGCAGTAAATATTTTTCATTAGATAAAATTTTAGGTTATTCTTACAGAGTTTTTCTCTATCACGTGTAGGTTTTGCAATGAGGCTCATTGAATAATAATCAAATAATTAATTAAAGTTTCCTCCCCATTTGAGGTCTCCTTTTATACCAGTTTAAAGCCTGTCCCCGAAACCTGAGACTTCCACCAAATTTTGAAAAATACCAAATAAACGCAGATTTTCAGCAACATTTTTAATGTTTGTATTTACGTTTGCAGTAGGACTAATAATTTTTCATGCCAAAAATTTGCATCATTAATATTCATCCTATTTGAGGTTATTTTCCCCTAAGCAACAACCTTTCAAGATCTTTATTTTTAGGCAGTACCTCCATCTTGAGTGTTTGGAGAACCATCTGTGCTACCTAAATAGTAAGAGGAATGGATCCTGTTTAGAAATATTTTCAGGTCTCAAAGGCCTGACATAGGTATGGTCACACTTCCGAGCCCAGAAGGCTATGAACCAGCATTTTGTGCCCCTCATTCCTCACTTTTAACCTTTTCTAATTGAAATTTACAGACCAAAAATATAGCAAATGTCGACATATGGGACCAGTTAAGAGCCTCATAATTTTCACTCAAGGTCTAGTCTAGTGGAATAGTGGTATGGACGATGTTTTACCATTTTCATAGTTTTCAAAAATCTGTGGGTGTACAGATAAATCTGTGTGGAAGTATGTAGTATGCTACAAATGTTTGAACTGAAGCTGCTTTACACAGCAGGGAGGAACCAGTGTCTTCTGTGGTCTGTGATCTCAGTTAAAGTTGTCTTCCTTTTTTGGCTGCTCTCCAAATGGCGTTTCACTTCATTCTCTTTTTGTACTGAAGTCAGTGCTGTTGATTTGTGTGGAACAAGATCCAACTTGCTTTGGTGTTTTGAAAATTAAGCTCAATGCCGAATATAAGGGTTTGTATGTTTTCCCCAGCCTTTTTCTGTCATTCTGTGTTTTAATGCAACTTTGATAATACAGCCCCAGCATGTCCACAACAGTAAAAAAAACCAAACAAATGTATTTCCAGCTGTGGGCTGTTCAAACACGAATTGTCCTGGGCATTAAGTATCAACTTTAACCATCTGGTTTACTTCTGATTAGGATTATATTTTATAAATGCTGCACATATGGCACCCTCATAATCTCAATGCCATATGCAGAGGGTCAGTGGGATCCAGCCCCTTTGGTCTTTTTCCTAACTTTGCCAAGTGCTTATAAATCTTAATTCAAAGACATAAATCTGTTTTGGTTTTAAATATATATAAACCTGTAATATCTTTGAAACTGAGTAAAGGAAAATCATCAAAAACATTTTTGTGGACTCGAATCAGAAGAAGTAGACTGTAGTCCCAAAGCTTATGCTAGAAATTTCCTTTTCACGGTTACATTTTAACATTGCTACATGTTTCCTTTTATATTTTAATACATTTTTATTGGGAAATCCTTTATAGAAAGTGTCTTCCAACTGTTAACCTGAAAATCCTTTCAAAAATAAATGCATCCATGTATGACTATAGACATGCAGCTGTAAAACTCTCATTTTCCTTGATAATGTGTCTTTGGTGAGAAGCTTAGTCATTTCAGTAAAATCCCTGGAAAGGCAGGTTTGCTTCCATTACCAGTTTTCCCTTGAAACATACATCTGCAGCAACAGTGGGAGAGTTCCAGGAGTCAATGTGACAGAATTGGAACTCCCATGGAAGCAGATCCAACTACTTTGGTGAAGGAATTCACCAGGGGCTGTATTGCCACCATATTCGTTCCTATTATCCAGTTGTGATGGTGACTGTCTAAGGTTCCTTCCCATAGAGCAATCACAGGTGGACCTCAGGCAGAATTGTGGGGATTTTAGCTTCTGAAAAGTTGAAGCGATTCTGCAAAGACATACAGTTATATTTCTGGATTTAATTTTTGCAGTGTGGGCGATTTGTAGATTTGACTCTTTACGAATTTGGTTAATAGGTTTCCTCGAGAAATCTCTAGGTCCTCCAGGACAACTCTGTAATTGGCTTCTGCCAGAAGTTGCCTGTAGAGTCATACTGGAGGGAACAGATTTCTAAGAAACTCTAGGTCCTCCTAAGCCAGCGTTTCTCAACCTGGGGGTTGGGACCCCCAAGGGGATCGCCAAAGACCATCAGAAAACACAGTATTTCCTGTTGGTCATGGGGGTTCTGTGTGCAAAGCTTGGCCCTATTCTATTGTTGGTGGGGTTCAGAATGCTCTTTGATTGTAGGTGAACTGTTGATTGTAGGTGAACTGTAAGTCCCAGCAACTGCAACTCCCAAATGACAAAATCTGTGCCCCCCCCCCACCAGTATTCAAACTTGGGTGTATTGGGTATTTGCATGCTGCATATCACATATTTACATTGCAATTCATAACCGTAGTAAAATTACAGTTACAAAGTAGCAACAAAAATAATTTTATGGTTGGGGGTCACCTCAACATGAGGAACAGTATTAGGGATCGCGGCATTAGGAAGGTTGAGAAACACTATCCTAAGCAATTCCATGGTCAACATTCAATGACATTTGACAATAGAATTGCTCTGGAAGACCTAACTTTTTTTAGAGAGGTCTTCTCTTGTTTTAAAACTCCTAATTTTCCCACTTCCATGAGGGTTCTGAACTTTTATCCCCATGAAAATGGAGGACCTCCTGTAGTTGCTTTCAGTGAGAGTTTTCACTGAAACTGCTGACATTGTTGGCTTGACCTTTTGCATTTGGACCCAACTCACTCTTGGATGGCAGTTCCCAATAAATTCTATGAAATCAAATTTAGCCCTCAGGTTTAAGGAGGTACCCATTACCAACTGTCCCCAACCAGAATGTTGCAAGCAGGCATGTAGCCGGGGGGGGGGGGGTTTGAGGGGCTTCAGCCCCCCCCCCCCCGAAATTCTCATGGTGGTTCGCGAGAAGGCCTTACTGGTACATTATTTAAACTGTTATGTTTATTCATATCATGATCTGATCACCATGCTCAATATATCCCATATGCATGGGGGTATTGGGGTAACGATACAAAAGGTTTGCTAGGGTAGACCCTCTTTCACTCAGACTCAGCCCCCCCCCCCCCAATCAAAATCCTGGCTACGGGCCTGGTAGACTTGTCTCTGTAGGGAAAGCCAAAAAATAATTGGATTTTCAACAGCACAAGTCCCTGATTTACTGGGAGACATTGGAGAAGATCGAAGACATGGGAACACATACTTCATGGTGTAAGGAAACAGGTTTGGCTCGCCCTTCACCTGCATTGTGTATGCTTGATGTACAGGCAGTCCCCAAGTTACAAACAAGATAGATTCTGTAGATTTGTTCTGAAATTGAATTTGTATGTAAGTCAGAACAGATACATTTATGTGTAACTCCAGCCAAATATATGTATATTTTAGCTTTGGATAGCATAGGGAAATGTTAACACCCCTGTGGTGTTGGTTTGCTGTCTGTGCTCCTGTTCAGAAGATTTCACCTTGTACCCGAATTATTCATAAGTCGATGTTTGTAATTCGGGGACTGCCTATACTTGAAATGAACTGGACTTCATTGCTAGACAAATCCATGTGGAAAGTGCATGAACCTGAAAACTACTGAGAGTGAATTTCAGCACAAGCTGAGTGGTTTTTTTAGATGTTCCAAAGCAAGAGAATAATAATGTGACGATGCATACCTAACGTGCACAAACTGGCCTTGGCAACACCTTTTGATCAAAGAGCAAAATAGGTTCCAGCCCTTGAATGTGCAAGCAATAATTCTAAAACCGTGTTTTTAAGAGGAATTTTTGATAAGTTCCAGGCAAAGTCTTTCCTTCCAAGTTCTAGCAGCCAATTCATCTTTATCTTCAGAGAGAGTGACTTGTGTTGCAAATGTATCTGGCCTGTAACATGCCGAAGCATAGCAAATAAGGCTCATACTTTCAACTGGAACTTGAATAAGTGAAGTGGACAACTATTTTTTTCCTGCCCGCTTGCTGTGTGACCCAAAGGGCTTGCGTATTGTATCCTTCTTGATAAATCTGGACATGTGCCATGAAAAATAAAAGAGATGGCATTCCAGTGCTTCCTTTTATTTATTAGGTTGTTCATTTTTCCCCCTGCATTCACATGCACGAGTGTTTTATCTGGAAACAATCAAATGTGAATTGCCCTGTTTTTTCTGGAATTTAAAGTCATTTTGGTTCTCAAACTGTTTGACAAAAGTTAAAAGTATATAGAATCTTTTATGGCAATAAGGGGAACTCCTAAATCCTGTTTTTGGGGTTTTTTTGAAAAAGCAAAAGAAAATATCTTCTCTAAAACAATTGCTTATAATACGACAAAGCAACGTTGACATTATTCCAAACCAGATGGTTCAGATGTTTGAATTTTACCTGACTTTTGAATGTTAATGTATGTGTAAAGTGAGTCCATAAAATTAATTCTATGATAATGAGAAAATACATATCCAGGATTGGCCTTTGGGAACCCCAGAACAACTCTCCAGCCTCTCCAGAATTTTTTTTTTTAATTTGGGGGCTGATTTTCAGGTAATTTCTTTGTCCCCAAATGGGCAAAAACTGCCTAAAAATCCAGCATTTTTCTTCTCTTAACCCAGAAAATCCCCAAAAGCTTCCCCAAACACAAAAAAGGAAAGTCATGGCTGCTGAAACTCAGTGTTATGGCCTACTGGGTGGAGGGTGGGAGGTAAAATATCTGGTTTAGGAAAAGGAGGTTTAAGGATTGTCTTGAGGAGACTCTTAAGGGTTAACTGGACCCTCTCCCAAAATTATTGTTAACTTGCTAATTATTGTTAACTTGCGTTGTTTTTGCTCTCTGTGGGAGCATGATTATGGTTTCGGTTTAGCATCTTTGGTGCCTCTTCCTCCGAGGATACTATTGTGCGCATGCAATGCTTTTTGTCATGGCCTTGGGCCCGTACAATAAACTATTGTGATTGATTGTATAACATGACTTTCCATGAAGGATTCTGGGTTTGGGATGGTTTTGTTATACTTCAGTTAGACTAGTTTTATTCTGAGTATTTTATTTAGAAACCAACTCAGTGCTAAATATAGTCTATTAAGCTGGCTGGCTGTAATATTGCTTTTCTTTTCTCTTGATCTAAGGTAGTCGAGAGAACTTGTCATGACCTGAGAATTAGATTGAATGCAAAAGAATAAAACTTGTTCTTTATTTTGCCAAACTGTGCACATCAAACAACTTAGCTACAGATGAAACCTATCAGAATTACCGGATATACTCAAGTATAAACCGACCCGAATATAAGCCGAGGCACTTAATTTTACCACAAAAAACTGGGAAAACTGAGACTGGAGTTTAAGCCAAGGATGGGAAATGCAGCAGCTCCTGGTGAATTTCAAAATAAAAATAGATACCAATAAAATTACATTAATTGAAGTATCAGCAAGTTAAATGTTTTTGAATATTTAAATAAAACTCTTACTTTAAGATAAGACTGTTGAAATCTGTTGAACTCTGGTGAAATCATTATTCTAATCTCTTTCTATGTAAATGTGCTTAAATATCCTTCCAATAATCATCTTAGTTTATTCTGGGGCAAATGCTGTGTGCAACTGAATAAGAAAAAGTGGGAAAGACTGGCGCTGAGAGAGGAGGAGAGGAAGGTGCACACCGTGCCAAGAGAGTAGAAGAGGAAGGTGCATGCTGCGCAAGAGAGTAGAAGAGTAGGGGGGACACTGCGCAAGAGAGGGGGAGAGGAAGGAGAGCTGGGTTGCTGTGCAGAGAGGTGAGAGTCCTGGCAGGAAGGCATGGGGCTGAAATAACCCTTCTTTTAGCCCCACACTTTCCCGCCAGGGCCATCATCCAAGTATAAGCTGAAAAACTAGGCTTATACTCAAGTATATACAGTAATTCCCAGGTTAAACTCTGGCATTGAATAGTTGCCTATGGGAATGCCGCCTCGAGGCCCCTCTGGAGTGGAGAAAGATGGGGTAGAAATGTTGTAAATAAATAAATATTTATGCTTACAGTTGTGTAAACACAGTAAAAATTGTGCCTTGCACAGACTGTCTTTTTCTTTCTGTTCTTTACTGTATGAAAAATTATTTGCTCATCTGAAAACATCCTTTTTGTAACTTCATATGAAAAAATATTTTAGGATTAGTTTATATTTGAAAACCACAAGACTGTTTTTTAAAGAAATTATAGTAATCTATTGGATTGGGTTGGGGCAGAGGCAGGAAGGAACACCAATGGGTTTATTTTCTAATCTCAGCCATACATGTTTACTTTTTGAAATATGTTTCAAATAACTCCATCGGCCATAAATTTAGTCTCCAGAGTATGTTATCCTTACAATTGCATCTCATTAGCTCATCATTTGTACAACTTTTGAAAGAGCTATGAGCCAGCAATTGCTTCATTTTAAATTGTTTTAAAAAGTGCAAGGGGGAAAGACAGCATTCAAAATGTGCACATTGAGAATACAAATAATGGTAACCATATCTGAGCTAGTCTAACAATGAGTACCAACATTTGAGCAAACATAAAGGTGAATTCAATTTTAAGGGTAGTAGGAAGAACATTGTTTTGATGTCTTTTATAGGCCATGAAAACATTGAAATAGTCATTTTGGCTTCATACTTTTGCTTTGCATTATAACTCTGTATGTCTTTCTTTACACAGATACGGTCTCATTTTCAGTTTGGTTATCTCTGCCAGAGGACCACTGATGCTTCATGTTGTCCCAGCTGGACTCTAGGCAATTATATTGCCATTCTGAACAACAGGTCATCCTGTCAAAAAATTGTAGAAAGAGATGTCTCTCACACTCTGAAGCTGCTCCGTACGTGTGCCAAATACTACTACAATGGGACGCTTGGGCCAGACTGCTGGGATATGGCCGCCAGGAGGAAGGACCAACTCAAGTGTACAAATGTTCCTCGTAAATGTACGAAGTACAACGCTGTTTACCAGATTCTCCACTACCTAGTGGACAAAGATTTCCTAAGCCCAAAGCTCACAGACTATGTCTCACCAGCTTTAAAGTACAGCATGCTCTTTTCGCCTACCGAAAAAGGGGAAAGCATGATGAATATCTACTTGGATAAGTTTGAGAACTGGAACTGTTCTGATGGGATCACCACCATCACAGGGATTGAGTTTGGAATCAAACATAGCTTATTCCAAGATTACCTTTTAATGGATACTGTGTATCCTGGGATCGCCATTGTGATTGTTCTTTTTGTCATGTGCATATATACCAAGTCCATGTTTATCACACTCATGACCATGTTTGCCATAATTAGTTCGTTGATTGTTTCTTACTTCCTCTACCGGGTAGTATTTAATTTTGAATTTTTCCCCTTTATGAACCTCACTGCACTGATAATTCTTGTTGGTATTGGGGCGGATGATGCTTTTGTCTTGTGTGATGTATGGAATTACACAAAATTTGATAAATCTCAAGCTGCAACGTCAGAAACAGTCAGCATCACCTTACAACATGCTGCCCTTTCCATGTTTGTCACCAGTTTCACCACCGCCGCTGCCTTTTATGCCAATTATGTCAGCAATATCACAGCAATCAGGTGTTTTGGTGTGTATGCTGGCACCGCCATATTGGTGAATTATGTTCTGATGGTAACATGGTTGCCTGCAGTTGTCGTGTTACACGAACGGTACTTGCTCAATATATTTAGCTGCTTCAGGAAGTCTCAGACAAGGGGCTACAGTAACAAAAGCTGCTGGACAGTTCTGTGCCAAATGTTCCACAAGGTTGTTTTTGCAGGCTCAGAAGCATCTAGGATATTTTTTGAAAAGGTATTGCCATGTATTGTTATAAAATTTCGTTATATTTGGTTAGTCTGGTTCTTGGCCTTAACTGTTGGGGGTGCTTATATAGTGTGCGTGAATCCAAAGATGAAGCTTCCCTCTCTGGAACTCTCAGAATTTCAAGTGTTCAGGTCTTCTCATCCGTTTGAACGTTATGATGCAGAGTTCAGGAAACTTTTTATGTTTGAGCGTGTTCATCATGGAGAAGAGCTCCATATGCCCATCACTATCATCTGGGGAGTCTCTCCTGAAGACAACGGAGACCCCCTAAACCCTAAAAGTAAAGGGAAACTAAAATTAGACAGCTCCTTCAATATTGCAAGCCCAGATTCACAGCTGTGGATTTTGAAGTTTTGCCAGAAGCTGAGAAACCAGACTTTTTATTATCAAACAGAAGAACAAGACTTCACAAGCTGCTTTATTGAGACGTTTAAGCAGTGGATGGAAAATCAGGACTGTGATGAACCAGCCCTTTACCCCTGCTGCAGTCATTGGAGCTTCCCCTACAAACAGGAGATTTTTGAGTTATGCATCAAGAGGGCCATCATGGAGCTTGAAAGAAGTACAGGGTACCATTTAGACAGCAAAACCCCTGGGCCTCGTTTTGACATAAATGATACCATCAGAGCAGTGGTACTGGAGTTCCAAAGCACCTACCTCTTCACCTTGGCATATGAGAAGATGCATCAGTTCTACCAAGAGGTGGATTCCTGGATTTCACATGAGCTCAGTACTGCTCCCGAGGGGCTTAGCAATGGCTGGTTTGTGAGCAATCTAGAGTTCTATGACCTCCAGGACAGTCTTTCTGATGGTACTTTGATTGCCATGGGTCTTTCAGTTGCTGTAGCATTCAGCGTAATGTTACTTACAACTTGGAATATCATAATAAGCCTTTATGCAATAGTCTCAATAGCAGGAACCATTTTTGTTACTGTAGGATCTCTGGTTCTTCTGGGTTGGGAACTCAACGTTTTGGAGTCTGTCACCATTTCTGTTGCTGTTGGATTATCTGTTGACTTTGCTGTCCATTATGGAGTTGCTTACCGCTTGGCTCCAGATCCTGACAGAGAAGGGAAAGTCATCTTCTCCTTAAGTCGCATGGGCTCAGCAATTGCAATGGCAGCCCTGACCACATTTGTAGCGGGAGCCATGATGATGCCTTCCACAGTTTTGGCATATACTCAGCTTGGCACCTTCATGATGCTTATAATGTGCATCAGCTGGGCCTTTGCAACTTTCTTCTTCCAGTGCATGTGCCGTTGCCTTGGCCCCCAAGGAACTTTTGGACAGATTCCTCTGCCGAAAAGATTTCAGTGCAGTGCCTTTTCCCAGGCATTGTCGGGAAACAAAGATGGGGAGGAAAACAAATACCACTTGGACCCTAGAAGCAAAAAATCAGACAAGGAGCGTGAGCATGAGCATTATGAGCTGGAGCCTTTAGCATGCCAGACCAATAACTGCACTCCCTCTGAGAAGAGAGCCTTTGAAGAGACGCACATCTGCTCTGAGCTCTTCAACGGTAGGCTTACAAATGCCCATGCTCTTCCCCAGTTGGCGTATAGCGACGAAATGAACATGAATGCTAAAAGTGAATCCAGCCCAGCCATGGTACCTTCTGATGAGCAGGACCCCACTTGCCAGCTGATGTGTCAAAACCAGCAGTGCATTTGCTCCGACGCATATAAAGCCTTGGGTATGAAATGGAGTCCCCGCTCATGTCAGCAGTTAAATGAAACCTTATGCTTTCGCTGTTCTCTTTCGTCTGGAAACATGCAGACCCAGAATAATTTGGTCCCTCTAAATGTCTTGCCTCGCTCTTCTGATGGCTACATTAACACTGTTCAGCATGTTCTCCACTGTAACTGTCTACAAGGCAGGTTAAAAAGGCCGCCAGTTCAGAATTCACTCCCGAAAAACATTTTTCTTCATTCCGCACACCATTTTCAATCCCGCAGTCTTCCTAACACTGAAGAGAACTTAAGAACCCTTCCAAAAGAGACAAACTCTTCCCCATTCCCTTGCAGAAGTGCTGGTTCAGTCACGAAACCTTGTGAAAAAGAGAACCACCTGTCTAAGAACCAAAAGGGGCTCTGTAATAGTTGCAGAGGGAAGCGGGATGTAAGAGTTGCAGAGGTAAATAGAAATGAAAATGGAATATCTGCATCTAAGCAAAACAGGCAAACTGAAGGAGAGGGCATCCAGGACGTACCACAAAGTACTCCCAGCACTAAATTGCATCAGAATGAGATTAAGGGTATAGAAAGCAGTAGAGCATCAGAAGCTGGCTTTGAGTCTTGCCCTGAAAATTCACAGTATTGTAACAGAACCATAATGATCAAGTGCAATTCTGTTGAGTGTCATATGCCAAACACTGAAGCCCATGTGCCTGCTCTGTTAGCACACCCTGAACTTTCCAATGAAAGTTTGCTAATAAAAACACTATAATTAATCTTAAATTTAATGTCCGTGTTATTCTTTTTGAAGAGATCTCACAGTATCAAACCTGTTCAGATGGTCACATATATACAATATACATAAATTCACGTTTGAGGATTTAAAATCTACTTTGAAAGAAAAGTGAATGTTTTGGTTAAGTTTTATTAACCTTTTTCAAGTTGATTATACATTGTTCTCAGTAAAGTCAAATACTGCTTAATTCACATCTTCCTGTGCAGTTGCCAAAATCATTTCAGTTGTTATTCTCCACTACAATGAAAAATAAAGCATTTCAAGTAGCCTGTCCCTGGGATTTTGGCAAGAGAAAATATATCTGAGTTGGGCTGTTTTACTGCCTTATGTTGCTATTCTCTAACTATTATATTACCTAGAATTATATTATCTCTTATTTAATTACCTGGGATCAACTAAAACCTATCTCTGATGGATCACAGAGGGTAAGAAAAAAGAAACACAGATTTTTAAAATCACATCTAAAATGGTTCTTTATGAGCTTGTCCCTTTCACTCCCTACTCTGCTAGTTCTTCATAAATCGTTTTAGGTATCATTCAGTGATAGTATATGGACTTAAGAAGTTATGGAAGTGGTGTCCCCTGATTCATCTCCAACAGGGGTCCTCAAACTTTTTAGGCAAAGGGCTGGTTCACGGATTGTTAGGGGATACACACTATAGTTTGGGGAAAAATGAATTCATTCCTATGCACACTGCACATATCTTATTTGTAGTGCAAAAAATAAAACATGAAAGAACAATACAGTATTTAAAATGAAGAACAATTTTAACCAACATAAATTTAATGGTACTTCAATGGGAAACGTGAGCCTGTTTTTAGCTGTTGAGATAGTCAAGTTAATTAAGATTATACAACAACATGAAAGAACACTAAATTAAATCATAGACATTTTCATAAAACTAAAGGTCATTAATATGTTTCAGAACTCACAGAATAGTTGTTGTTGTTCATTCGTTCAGTCGTCTCCGACTCTTCGTGACCTCATGGACCAGCCTACGCCAGAGCTCCCTGTCGGCCGTTACCACCCCCAGCTCCCTCAAGGTCAGTCCAGTCACTTCAAGGATGCCATCCATCCATCTTGCCCTTGGTCGGCCCCTCTTCCTTTTGCCTTCCACTTTCCCCAGCATAATTGACTTCTCTAGGCTTTCCTGTCTCCTCCTGATGTGGCCAAAGTACTTCAACTTTGTCTCTAGTATCTTTCCCTCCAGTGAGCAGTCGGGCTTTATTTCCTGGAGGATGGACTGGTTGGATCTTCTCGCAGTCCAAGGCACTCTCAGAACTTTCCTCCAACACCACAGCTCAAAAGCATCGATCTTCCTTCGCTCAGCCTTCCCTAAGGTCCAGCTCTCACATTCGTAGGTTACTACAGGGAATACCATGGCTTTGACTAGGCGGATCTTTGTTGCCAGTCTGATGTCTCTACTCTTCACTATTTTATCGAGACTGGACATTGCTCTCCTCCCAAGAAGTAAGCGTCTTCTGATTTCCTGGCCACAGTCTGCATCTGCAGTAATCTTTGCACCTAGAAATACAAAGTCTATCACGGCCTCCACGGTTTCTCCCTCTATTTTCCAGTTGTCAATCATTCTTGTTGCCATAATCTTGGTTTTTTTTTGACGTTTAGCTGCAACCCGGCTTTTGCGCTTTCTTCTTTCACCTTGATTAGAAGGCTCCTCAGCTCCTCCTCGCTTTCGGCCATCAGAGTGGTGTCATCTGCATATCTGAGGTTGTTAATGTTTCTTCCAGCAATTTTCACCCCAGCCTTGCATTCATCCAGCCCCGCACATCGCATGATGTGTTCTGCATACAAGTTAAAAAGGTTGGGTGAGAGTATGCAGCCTTGCCGTACGCCTTTCCCAATCTTGAACCAGTCTGTTGTTCCATGGTCAGTCTGACTGTTGCTACTTGGTCCTTGTACAGATTCCTCAGGAGAGAGACAATGTGGCTTGGTATGCCCATACCACCAAGAACTTGCCACAATTTATTATGATCCACACAGTCAAAGGCTTTAGAATAGTCAATGAAACAGAAATAGATGTTTTCTGAAACTCCCTGCCTTTCTCCATTATCCAGCAGATATTGGCAATTTGGTCTCTCGTTCCTCTACCTTTTCTAAACCCAGCTTGTACATCTGGCAACTCTCGCTCCATGTATTGCTGGAGTCTTCCTTGCAGGATCTTGAGCATTACCTTACTGGCATGAGAAATAAGGGCCACTGTACGGAAGTTTGAGCAGTCTTTCGCATTTCCCTTTTTTGGTATGGGGATATAAGTTGATTTTTTCAGTCTGATGGCCATTCTTGTGTTTTCCATATTTGCTGGCATATGGCATGCATCACCTTGACAGCATCATCTTTTAAGATTTTAAACAGTTCAGCTGGGATCCCGTCCTCTCCTGCTGCCTTGTTGTTAGCAATGCTTCTTAAGGCCCATTCAACTTCACTCCTCAGGATGTCTGGTTCTAATTCATTCACCACACCGTCATAACTATCCTCAATATTATTATCCTTCCTATACAGATCTTCTGTATAGTCTCGCCACCTTCTCTTGATCTCTTCAGCCTCTGTTAGGTCCCTGCCATCTTTGTTTCTTATCATACCAATTTTTGCCTGAAATTTACCTCCAATGTTTCTAATTTTCTGGAAGAGGTCTCTTGTCCTTCCTATTCTGTTGTCTTCTTCCACTTCCATGCATTGCTTATTTAAAAATAGTTCCTTATCTCTTCTGGCTAACCTCTGGAATTGCGCATTTAACTGGGCATATCTCCCCTTCTCACTGTTTCCTTTCCTCCCTTCTTGGGCTACTTCCAGTGTCTCAGCAGACAACCATTTTGCCTTCTTGGTTTTCTTTTTCTTTGGACGTACTTTGTTGCCGCCTCCTGAACAATGTCTCGGACTTCTGTCCATAGTTCTTCTGGGACTCTGTTTACTAAATCTAGTCCTTCAAATCTGTTCTTCACTTCCACTGTATATTCGCTAGGAATGTTAATGAGATCATATCTAACTGGTCTGTGTATTTTCCCTGATCTCTTTAGTTTTATTCTAAATTGGGCAATAAGAAGTTCGTGATCTGAGCTACAGTCAGCCCCAGGTCTTGTTTTCACCGACTGGATGGATGTCCGCCACCTTTGGCTGCAAAGGATGTAGTCAATCTGATTTCGGTGTTGACCGTCTGGTGAGGTCCATGTATAAAGCCGTCTTTTAGGTTGTTGGAAGAGAGTGTTTGTTATACACAGCGAGTTTTCCTGGCAAAATTCTATCAGCCTGCGTCCCGCTTCATTCACAGAATAGTACAATTTCCTAAATCGTAAATGCCATTTGTATAGCTTTCTCCAACTCTTAATTGTATTTCTGAGCATTGGACTATAATTCGAGACCAGGTTCAAATCCCTGCTTGGTCAAGGAATCTCACTGGGCAAGTTGCACACTTTCTGTCTCAGAGGAACACATCTTGCCAAGGAAACCCTGTGATATAGTCACCTCAGAGTCACCATAACTTGAAAGGGAGGCAACAGCAAATGACTTGGAAGGCAGACAACAGCAACAGTCTTTGGAGAAGATTTTCCACAAATAAATGACATGGACATTTGAATCGCAGTTAAAGGAATTAAGCAACCAAACTAGATCAGGGAAGGGGAGAACTTGTAAATATCAAGAGACAGCAAAGTTTCACTTCTCCCATTATTGTGGCACGTAGCTCACTTACTGAGACACACAGTACAGGGTCCAAGTCTTTGTGCTTGTGATTTTTCTGCTTGGTATCCTAGATTTCTTTAAAACACGTACAACTCTCTTCCAACTCTAATACAAATGTTAGCCTGTGCTCACATTTGATTTGTCATAGTAGGAAGTGACAAACCTGCAGAACCAACTGAGCTACTTTTCTTCTCACTTCCACCTTCCTTCTTTGGGTTCTTCAGGAAATAAATAGGATCTCTCCTACTCCCTCCCTTACACTATCTTGCACCATTGCAATGAACTCCATCACTTGTACCACTCTCGTTCTGCTACTCCTTCATCTTAATGTTATCACTATGTGCCCCTCCCATGCTTCTTGCACTTCGTGTGCCCATTCTTTCTTCACTTATACTACATCTCTTGCCTCACCTTGTATGTTCTTGTGCGTTCACACTCCGCTGCTCACGTTGTTCACCCTCCTGTTCCTATTTTCTCACTTGCCTTACTTTAGGGCCTTAGAGTGCTCCCATTTTCTATTTCCAGTCTGCTGCTCACTTTCCCTTCTCTCCTGTTGTCTCCCATGTCTCACGGCTTTCCATTGCACCGCTCACACAACTGTCTCTGCCTTCCTTACTGCTACCTCCCCCACTCTTCAAATTAGATTCAAGTCAGAAAAGTATCCACATTTTTGCACTAGGCATACCTTCATTGTTTATTTATTTTATTATTTATTTGCAGTATTCTCAACTCCGAAGGGGACTCAGGGCGGTTCAGTGTTAGCAACAATTCAGTGCCCTTGATTAAAAAAAGTGTAAAACATCCAAATTGACCCTCCCCTGATAAAACATTAAACATTACTGAATACATTACATAAAATAACATCACATATCACACAAAGACATAGCTGTTCAGCTATATCATGTGTCCCTTTATCTTTTTTTTTTCTAAACTAGCCCCAAACATTGTACATTTCTTCATGGGAGAGTTGCCCTTTTCTCAACTTTTTCAACTCTGCAATATTTATTCATACATCAATGGCCGAAAGTGTCTACAGCAGTGTTTCCCAAAATTTGGGCCCTCAGATGTTTTGAACTTCTGCTCCTAGAAGCCCCAGCCAGCTTGTCCAACAGTCAAGAACTGTGTGAGCTGAAGGACCAAAAGAGCTGGGGGATATGCTTGGGAACCACTTGTCTATGTAATCTGGGTGTGCATTTGTGTCAGGCCAGCATGATATAGGTTGCTTATTTCAGTTCTTTTTCTCATTATACCTACATGGAATTTGCTCTTTTTATATCAGTCGCACCCTGG